GCCATATATACATAACAAATCTGCACATACACATTTATAGTAGTGTGTCCCAGCATGGGGATAAGGATCCTCAAAGAGGTGAAAGGTTTCATAAGATAAATCTGAGGGGTTAAAAGATGATTACCTAGTCAGGAAGGAGAAAAATATTTCCAGTACATTTTTGCAGGTTTAACAACAACTGATATCATTGAATAGTGAGTAGAAGCAGGTATGAATCACACATATACACAGTGCTCAGTAATGCTCCACAACTTGAAACTTGGATTATCCGTTGACTTGTTTTTTACTCATCCAATGAAGGTAGGTATGTGCTGCTTTCTGCACCAGCTTCAAATTTATGGCTTACCATGCCCTAACGTGTGGGAGCTGTCCAGTATTAACCCAAGGTCTTTTAGGTTGAGCAGCTCCAACACTGAAGAGCAGCATGAAGCTACACTCCCATCTATGCAGAGATACGCTAGGTTGGTGTGAGAGTTTTAGATGTATACTGAAGTAACAAGATCTCTGGTTGAACTCTCACAAGACGGAGATGAGGGAAGTGAAGAAAAACCAAACAGCGGGCATCCGCCTCATACTCGGCTCTACAGGGTGTATTTGTGTGCATGCGTGCATGTGTGTACATTTGTGTGTGTGTATGTGTGTATGTTGTGGGTGTTTGTGTATCCTTTCTCCAGCAGGACCCCCAGATCAAAACCGCAACCCACTCTCCCTCCCCATGCCTCTCTCTTTCTCTCTCTCTTTCTCCATCTCTCCACCCCCTCTCTCATTAAAAACTGCAGGCCCTGGCTTCTAATTAAATCCCACTTGAAAAGTCTTAAAGTCAGCCTCAGATTGATTCAATTTGCATTTCTGAACAGAGAACATTGCCTAAAAGGATTAATAAATTGGACGAAAAAATGCCTTCTTTCTGCGCCACGCCGTCAGAGCTTGTAAGACAACATCCAAAGAGAAATATCCCCCCTCAACAAACGTCTATCCAACATATGCTCTTGCTCTCTCTCTTACACGTCCCTCCCAGGATGCCAGCAGAGATGGGAAGTGTGTATCAGGACTCTGTGTTTGTATGTGTGTGTGTGTGTGTGTGTGTGTGTGTGTGTGTGTGTGTGTGTGTGTGTGCACATGCATGTCCTCGTCTGTGGAACAAGCGCAGAGTCCTCTGAGGCACAGTTGGGAAGGAACACACGCAATCTGACTCTAACTGTGTGTACATGTGCTTGTATGTGTGTGCGCGTCTGGGTATTTGTGTATGTGCGAGAGGGGAGACTTTGTTGGAGCGTGCCAGAGTGCTGAAAGTGACAAGGAGGCACAGTGGGAAAAGATCCTTGCTGTACTGTCTGTATGTGCAGAGAAAGATCACGGCGGTGGAGCCATGCCATTGGCTAGTGGACACCTACAGCAACATGTTTGGAAATCCAAAAACACACTGCCAGCTAAGAGAGCCAGATTCAATTAGTGAGATAAAATGAAAAGAGCAAGTAAGACATTTCAAACAGTCCAAAAACTGATGCCACTGCCAAAAGAAAAGAGCAAACACTAGTATGAGAGTTTACATTTGCATTGACACAATGGGTCTGTCTCGAAATTGTTTTGTATATTTTGTATTTTTTTTCTGTTGTATATTTGTGTTATATGTATCTGTGGAACCGTGCTAACAAGATAAGAGGAAATTACCTCTGAAATTTCTTCTGATGACAGCGATCAAAGGCTTTTGCATCTGCAAATCAAATGGTGCAATTTTCTTTAAATGATTTGCATGTGTTTTGAGTGTGTGGAATCAGGTTTTTGCAAGGCATTTTCAATGTCTTTCAATCCTCAAAATATTATGAAAAATGAGAACCAACTTATAATGCTCATCTTGTCTGTAATATCTTTATCAAAAGCCTGGCTTTATCATCTGGTTACAGTCACATATTGTATATCTCTCCTTGTGTCCTGTTCTGTGCTGTTCTTTATGTTTATAGTGATTTTACTGCATCAATGAAGATACTTTTAGTAAATACTTTATCAAAAAGTATGTACCCAAAAACTTTCACTCACTTGTCTCATGAGTTTTTCTTTCATGAAAACATCGTGTTTTGTGTGTCCAAATTGTTGAACCTTGGGGAAGGCATGATTTTTACTACAGCAGACAGTTGGATGGGACATATTGTCAGTGTTGTTATTTGCCTGTCGAACTCGCTTGTATAATGGCTGATGGACTTTCATAGAGTGCTGGTAGCTCAGTGGTTGAAGCCTTATTAATAAAAAAAACTAGAACCACATGGAGACCCTGACAAACAGACAGGCACACAATATACGGTAGGCATGACTTCACCACACGACACTTGGTTTGCCTATAATTACAGTAACTCAGGCAGAAACTAGAATATGATTAGTCCTGAAATACATCTGAAACAGAACTGTCTGAAAAGGAAACAAAACCAAAGAATTTTATTTTACATAATAAACGGGGAAAAATCTTGATTGAAAGGAAATAAAACGCAGTGATCATTAGAATAAAAGTTTGAGAGTTTAAAGAAGATAGTGAGCGGCAAAAATGACCAGTGTTACTGTGCTGTGATCAGACAAAAGCACAAAATCATCATGATGAAATGAGTGTGGGGAGAGGAAAGTGGCAGAATGATCTGGTCCTGTTTTGTATTAAACAACACTGACCCCTAGTGATATCAGTTAGGATCATCCATAAAGTGATTTGCATAACGTCTGTGTGCATGCAAGTAAAAACACATTTATGTTTCTACATGAAGATGATAAATATTTAAGTACGGTACAATATTTCTGTATGAATGTGTTTCGGTCTGGGAATGTGTGTGTATTTTTGTTTCGCGTGCGTGTGTTTGTTAATACTGTGTATGTAGGTTATGTGCATTTGTGTTTATTCCTCCACATACGTACAATCATAAGAACATTAGATTTAAGACCAGAGTCTGTGGACAATGTGTATCCACGAGGGGAGTGTGTGTGTGTGTGTGTTCTAATAATGGTGCCTGGTGGACTGGGGCTTTCTTTGATGCGATGAAGGCCGACAGGCGTGAAACAGGTCCAATCAGGCGCGTGGGCGCTGCCAATTAACCCTTTTCACCGTGTGAAACCAAACATAATTGCCTGGGGTGCAGGGGGCCACTGGGCCATGGCCTGCCCAGCGTAGGCTGAAATGGGCATTAGCAGTGCTGCCAGGTGACCATTACACACAATTGAACTGCTGGGTTTCTCCAAATCACATAGTTAGACTTGCTACCCAGACCTAATTGGCATGGCAGTACCAAATGGCCCCTATTTCTAATTTTCACACCTACACAATTTATCTAGAATATTGTAGAGATATTGTACTGTGCCAGGTTTATTACTCTACTGCAAGTATACTGTAAATTATATTTTTGCTCAGATTTCACTGGGAGCGTGGATTATGTTTGAAATATTAAATGTATCTAGTACATTTTGGTGTTGCAATAATTCTGTTCAGAATGTTATGATCATCCTAACTGGAACAAATATGGTTAATAAGTTAAGCTATGTGTGCTCTGATAATCAAATTTTATTCATGTTATGCTCAAGGCAAATACCCCAGATTTTTAGTCAAACACCCAAAACTAGAGCACAGTTTAAATGAAACTAGAGCAGCACTCTGTTCGGCAGTAATGCTGCAATAACATCGTTTACTAAAATTCAATTTTTATTCATCTTTAATATTCTTGCGATAAATTAATGATCATGGTTATTAACGTGTGATAAAATGACTGCTTACTATTAATGAAACTTTATTTCAAATCAAAGAGCTCCATAAGAACTGAAAACTCAGTTTCTGCAGCATTCTTATGAGCTGTTCAGCAGTCTCAGCTATGCATGTTGGACTTCTGGAAACTGTTTGTTGGATAAGATATACATAATTGAAATGAAATCACAGTATGTGTTTTTTGGTGTAACTATGTTTAAAGACATGCACATTTAAAAGAATCATTAAAAAACAAAACTGATTGCCATAAATTGTTTTAAATCTGAATTGATGTATCATTCTTTATATAGACTTGTTTATGAACATCTCCTAATGTCAAGATCTTTTTGGTTACAAAAGGATATTAAAAATCCCCTTTACTCATCAAGATCCACTGACGCTATTAGAATAAATATTAGCTTTATTTGCCACATAGAGTTAAGCATACAAGCAATCTGATTCCAGTTTCCAGTAGCTCTCACTGTATTTACTCTCTCAGACATAAACAATGACAAAGACTTTGAACAAAGATAAGGAAACATAAACATATAGCTACTACGGTATGTGCAGACAAGTTGAGATGCATACTCTTTATATAAACAACAGATAGAACAACTCTACATACAAAAACTGCCACTGTAAACTGTGCATACAAGGTTGTAATAAGTGGAAGAGGGTTCATAACATGTTGGAATAAATGTATCAATATCAATATTTGTATGTGGGTATTAGTTTACTGCAAATATCTTGGTATCGGTGTATGTGTCAGCAGATTAGTGGCAAGAAATTACACCTCAGCAGGGCTATAATGTAATAAGTTACCTTAATTTTGCCAAATTGCAACCTCCAAAATGACCACAAAATTGAATCAACACCTCTCCAACGTTATAACCTTCATGAAGGTATACTTTATGGCAGGGCTGTTGTATTAGACTGCATTATTCTAAATTGTACCAATAAACTGGCAACTTGTGTATGCAGGCTGTTAGAAGTACAGCATACAGCCTGCTTATACAGGAATATTATGTAGTTACATGCTATTGCACAAATTGCACTGTGTATTACATATTATGTAAGCACAGTAGATGTTTTGGTATTGCAAAGTAAAAGATAATTGGGATGTCAGATAGATTTTTTGTTTACCCCGGGGCTTTTTTTTTTTTTTCTACATTAATATTGTTTTTTTCCCCTTATGCTTGAAATACCACCGTTTGGCCGCCAGGTGTCGTTGTTTTGTCCCTTTTCCAGCCTCCAGCTTGCCGGTCTGTCTGACTGACTGCCCAACAAGAAATGTTGGTAAAACCCCCTTCCTCATCGTGTAGAGAGAAAAAAATGGCGGACAAGCGCTAAAATCCACACCAGAAACAAACACACACGTTACAAAGCAAGGTAAACATCCTCGGATACACCGAGCAACGTCTCCTTTTTTTTATATATATATAATCTTGACTTCAGCGTTGAGCCCACATTACCCACTGGCTGGCCTCAGTGTGCTGCTATGCTCCCGTTGTGCTAATGCTAATATTTATAATCAGGTCAACGAGCTAGCGCGCAACCTAGCATGCTAAAGCTAGCATCCTAGGCAGTGGGCATGTCTCTTGTGTATCCGTGCGTAGCATAGCATGCTGAATGTGGTGATGGTGTCTGCGCGGCTGCACTGGCTGCACGCATGTGTGATTTCCATTCACTATTATTTATTTTTTTTTGTTGGAGGGGGGGGGGGTTTGATTTACACCCTAGAGGCTACCGTCAACGTAGTGGTCACTCCTGGGTAACATAATTAGCGATGCTGTCACGTAAATGAGCATCTAGCGCGCATGCAAATATAGCAGAGGAGAGGGCGGGCGGTGGGAGGGAGGGAGGGAAGGAGGGAAGGAAAAAAAAAAAAAAAAGGGGGGGTCCCATGTGTTGGCTTTGTGTTTTGAATGAAGCTCAACAGCGTGAGACGTGATATTTTGGGTTATAAATGGGAACAGCGTCCCGTGCAGATGTGAGACAAGTGGTCCTGTAGCTGGACGCGGAGTTTTCAACACTCACTGGTGGTGGTGGGGGGGTTGCAACAGGAGGAAGGTGGTACCTGCTGAGCTCTCTTAATGCCTGTCCTCCTGTCACTTTTCCTAGACTGGGGGAAGGAAAAAAAAAAAAAAAAACAGGGAGCGGGCCGCTTTAATTTGGACGCCATCCCCCTTGGCGGAGGAAAAAGGCGCACTTCTATTGAAAAGGAAATCCATCCGGAGAGGAGAGACGCTGCTAAACGGTTATGAAGTTTTAAGGTAGGTATGTTTATATGCACACAGGGGTCCTCTGTCATTGCGCTTTTAGTCGTACGCTAATGTTAGTTAATTTGTAACAGTCCTCATAATAAAGCTGGTGTGTTTTCTCTTGGCAGATGGTAAACAAGTGTCGCTGTAACTTTGACTGTGTGCCCCTTTATTATTACCTCGCATGTTATTCCTCACATGAGAGTTTTTAGGGCATGTTATTTTGCCATGTTATAAACTCTGGATGTAATCTAAATTGGGGATTATTTGGATTTATTTTGTGTGTAAATACATGCCTCATTGGACTGTGGTCTGTGTTTGACAGGAGAAAGTCAATTGAAGCAGTTGTTTCTATCAGTTTGACCTGTTGACCTGCATGTTGTGTCAGGGTTTGGGTTACAGGACTTAGTGAGCCTCCAAACTTGTGGCCCTTGTCTAAACCCTGACTGTCCACTGATTGATGAGGAGGGATTTTGTAAACATTCGGTATAGTGAAAGGCAATACTTAATCAAAATGCTTGTGTGTTGTTTCTAATATTTTGTCCCCTCTGTTGATATAAATTACTGCCTGTATATGCAGTTATATATACAGCAAATAAATGTCGTGTATTTTGCGCTTTGAAATTAATCTTTAAAGTGTAACAAATCAAATTATATCCATATGTAGTGCATTGTTGGCATGATTTTGGTTCTCTTTGTTGAACTTGCCTCTGGTTACCTCCTGTGATGACCCCCTGCCTGGAGAGACAGCCAGTGAGCTACAAAGATAACAAGGGCAGCTCTCTGGTTTCCCTTTGAAACAGTACAGTTCACATGTGGCACATGTCCATCTGAAAACTCCCGGGTTTTTATTGGTAGGATCAGTTATTTGAGTTAATTAAAACGGTTTATTACCCTCATGTTTAACCCTTAATATAAAGTTTTCCTCTATTTTGCCCCCTTTTTTGTGAAATTTGTTTTGAACTTTTAGAACAAATATATACAAAAACATAAACGAGACAAGTACACACTGACATACAGTTTAATTAAAATATAAAAAGGTAGCAAATAATTGTAAATGCATGTCCAAATATGCTGTGTTTACATTGTCCATAGCTGCCATGATGGTAATGTCCATATTGTCCGTACATTCTCACAGTCTATGTGTATGTACCGTGAGTAATGATTTAGAAGGTAGTTGAGATAAATTGTACAATAAATGGAAAGTTTTCAACCAGCTTTGCAACGTAAGTAGTGTATACAAATGAACAATGTTTATCTTCCCTCCATGCTGGTCGCACCAGAGCTCCCCGCTCATTTGCCTCCCTCGATACGACTGTCCTTGGAGGCGGGCATAAAAAAAAAATCCGGAAGTGAAATTTGTAGTTCTTGAGGGGTACATGAATCGACACACACTACTGAGTTACAAGTCATTTTGCTCTCACATATAATTAAGTTAGTCTAAATCCTAACACATGTACAGTGCGTTTCAGATGCAGAGTACCTCATCTCCTTAAGATAAAGAAACCATATAATTGAGCCATGTCTTTAAACAAAGAGAAGAGATGGATTTCCATTCTCTCAAAATACCCCCTTTACCTGTTACCATACAAAACATTGTTAGGCAGGTTTTAGAAATCCACACTTATTCTTCTTTTTTTTAACTCGCTCAGTTCATCGTTTAAACGTATATTAATACTAACTTTTTCCATCAAATATAAATATTTTAGCTGTATTGTGCATGATTTAACCTGATATATTGTTGCAGCAACGGCAAACCAGTCAAGTTCATCTTATTTCAGATAGTTGCGTTTGGTTCACACAGCTGAAACATAACTACGTTTTGTGGATTTTCTTTATGTCTTTAGAGTGGAAGCCACTGTTGTGTTGTGAGCTTGGTCAGTATTGCTGGAGCATGAGGAAACCTGTACCGCAGAAAGGTAAGAATGCATTATGTCAGAATTCTTTCCAAGATGTATTCATAGTAGCTTGCAGAAAAAGCTAGAGGAATGCCACATTTGAATCTAAGTTCATTCTAACCAATCCCTTTTCTGTGCAGGCATACTCATTTATTATCTTGTAATAGCCCTGTAATCCCAGACAATGTTTGGATCAGTGAGGGTAGCAGGTATTGCAGGGTACTGACTGATGCGAAAATTACCTGTAGTTGAGAGCTTAGTCTGTCTTTCTTGGCCCCTATAGCGATAGAGTGGAAAGATGCCAGAAGGATCAAGCATGCCCGGAGTGGACGGCCCTCCCGGGTGCCCTCACAGTACCAAGGTAAATAACCCACAGCAGCCAGTGATGTATGAAGTAAGTTTTAGGCAATTCCAACAGGAAACAGTGCCCAAGGATTTGCCTCAGCATTGGTTCATTAATCATCAAGACAAAGTTTGCTACAAATGTTGATAACAGATTTTAAGCCTCATGTCTCTTTGTTGTTTTGGGGCTTACAAAGCATGTAAAATGCAACATAAAATGAATTCAGTTAATTTTTTATTTTGTATAGTGCCAGTTAAAACCATGACTAGAAAAACACATCTTAACATTACTGTAATATGATATGGGTCTTTTTGTGCTCCTCTTGTTCTTCTACAGGGCATTTCAGCTGGGAGAAATACCTGAAAGAGACGGGTGCCATTGCTGCACCCTCGTCTTGCTTCAGACAGGTGAGGAAGATTGCTAATTTGATTATTTGAACTTTAACTCTGTCTCCACTGCTGTCATTATGCTGCCAATCTCCAACTTGTCTAATTTGTCAAGCACTTCTATGTCTATCGTCACCATCCAGAGCCTCACACCTCCACTTAACGAGTTCAAGGCAGGGATGAAGCTGGAGGCCCAGGACCCGCGAAACACCACGTCAACCTGCATAGCCACGGTGGTGGGCCTGACAGGCTCACGGCTGCGGCTGCGCTTGGACGGGTCTGACAACAAGAACGACTTCTGGCGCCTGGTGGACTCGTCAGAGATCCAGCCGATCGGCAACTGTGAGAAAAATGGAGGCATGCTGCAGCCGCCTCTTGGTAAAGAAGCACAAATCACATTACTTTTATTTTATACGTTTTCTTCACATTATATTTTCTCCTTTTCTTTTCTTTGTTTTTTTTTTTTGTAAAATTTTGTCCACTAGGTGTCAGTGACTGATAGCGCAGGATATCAATGTGTCATGTTAATGTCTATAAATTAAATAAACTTCCTGACACTGCTTAGAAAGCCTCCTACTCAGGACATTTTTGTATTGAATACTTTGGGGGAAAAGACAGAAGAAGAACACCCTGTTATCTGCTTATTTAGCCTTTTATCACAAAGTGTTGATGGTCATATCTTAAATTTAATAATTTTCTTAATTGTTTGGTGTACGAAATGTAAAAAAGAAAATGATGAAAATGCTCATCGTAATTTCTCAGAGCCAAGGTGACGTCTTCAGATGTGTTGTTTTGTTTGACCAAAAGTTTAAAACTCAGATATAGCTCAGAGAAAAGCAGCAAACATTCACATTTAATAAGCTTGTATCAAAAGGAAAATTACTGAAAATATAAATCAGTTATTAATAGGTTAATTAATAACTATTAATAGTTGTAGATTAATCAGTGCTGTTTTTTCATAATTTGTCTGCATCAACGTCACCATGTTCATCACCTCTTCTTCAGGTTTCCGTCTCAATGCGTCCTCCTGGCCCATGTTCCTTCTGAAAACACTAAATGGAGCTGAGATGGCACCCTCTCGCATCTTTCACAAGGTACCTGTACGAGGCTTACGAGCTCAACGCACTCTAGTTGTTGTCTTATATCAGGGAGAAACAAGCATGATTATTATATAATTATACTTACTCATTTATAGCAGAGTTCACCTGGATCTTTTGGTCTGACAGTATTCACCCATAGCAAAAATTCACCAGATTTTACTGTCCCAACCTCAACCCTGACCCCCTTTTCTTTGACCCCATGTTCCCCAGCAGGAGCCTCCTGCCCCGGAGCAGAACTCCTTCCAGGTAGGCATGAAGCTCGAGGCGGTGGACCGTAAAAATCCCCACTTTATCTGCCCGGCCACAGTGGGAGCGCTGCGCGGTGTAGAGGTGCTGGTCACCTTTGATGGCTGGCGGGGGGCCTTTGACTACTACTGCCGCTATGACTCGCGTGACATCTTCCCTGTTGGCTGGTGCACCCTCACTGGAGACAACCTTCAGCCGCCTGGCACCAAAGGTCTGGACCTTAACAGTAGGCGGGAGATTTTATGAAAAAGCCTATCACATGTTTGTCGTTTTTTTAAATGTGTCTGTTCATCCAGATTACAAAAAATATATAATTGCACTTATTTTTAGGCTGCCAGTATGCTACTTCATAACTGCTTGTCAGATGGTCAAATAGCTTTGGAAACCCCCCACCCACTCAACTATTTGATGTTGGAATTGAGAGGGGGTGTTGTCCGACCATTTCTGAAACGTTCATAATGCTCACTTCATGTCAGCTGTGAGAAAGGAGCCATGGTTCTCTCAAGCTCTTTCTTTACACAATCACAACAGAGTGCAACAGATCAGTGCCTTCCAGGAGACAGAAAAATGTGCGTTATTATCCATGTATTTAAACAATATTGCGTCTCCCCCCCTCTTTATGATGGCCAGCTGTTCACCCGTCTTTGATTGTGGCTGTTCAGAACAACACTTTTGTCTTCCCATGCTCTGAGCACGTCATATTTTAATTTTGTTGTACAATGTTACAACGTAATGACAAATACACTTCCTTGATCATTGAACTAGATCTGTTCAAGCATAATGTGACCGTTATTGGCGTTTTTGGGTTTAATTTGTCCCAGTTTTGTGCTTAGGGTCTCTGAGATTTCTGCCTCCACTGCTGTACAATGGAGGTAAATTTTGTTACAGCCTTTAAAAATTGACCCTGTTAATCTGTATAATATAACAGTCTACAGTTTTCATTTCAATTCTTCTGTAGAAAGTGTTTGCAGTTGTTTCTGGAATAACACCATGAGCACCACAATCAAATTATATTCCCCTCCACTGTATTGTTGAGGAGGTGGAACCTCTAGAGGATATTTCAAAGCCTCAGCATGTTAAACCACATCTGTCTCTGTGGCTGGTGAACACTAGAGTAAATGAGGAAATGACCAAATCTGTTTATTTTATTTTTTTGCAGTTTGAATGAACTGACACTTTAAAGGCTACACACTCATGGTCCGCCTGCACAGGTGTTTTCACTTACTCACCTGATCGGATGTCTTTTCAGGACAGTGGAAAAGTGTGTTCAAAATGTGCTTTATTGACGTGTTCCCTCTTTCTCTCCACTTACAACTTATACTTTTATCATTCTTATTGGTATGTTGAGATGGACGACCTCACAAAATTCCCATCATAGCTCGAACCAACTTTAACCTGAGCAGAGGTCCAATCAGTGAGGTTAACTGAAAGCGCCTGTATGGGTGTGCAGTGCACTGCAGGGCCTTCAACAACACCAGGTTGTTAAAATTAGGTTTATGACTATAGTATACAGGGGTGGGGACACACATTACATTATATTACTATATAAGATTTCATATTTAGCATATTGTACCCAAATTGTAATAATTAGGTTATATTAGGGTGTCTGTCTTTGGTGACAATTAGAAAGTATTAAAGTCTTAAACGCCATTTTCCAAGGTATTACATTTTGTAGGTTTTTTTCAGTGTGTATATTTGTTCAAAGAGGTTGTATGCTAAAGTTTGTGAATTTTATCATTGTGTGGAATCCTGCAAGTGCAATGGATAACTGTTGGCTCACTCATTGACCCACCGACTGACGGCTGCTTGATAATGTTAGGTGAGAGCTCTGTGTGTTGGAAAGCGACGAATGTAGGCTCGATGGGGATCACTGCTGTCTGGTCCCACATGCAAAGTACTAGCCATAAAACCACTATGGGACACAGACATCAGGTGTCTTATCTAGCGTGCATTTCTTTGCTACACAACCGTTCCTACCCACCTCTAGCTCAAGTGTGTGTTTGTGTTGTAGGGAACAAGATGGTGGTTCTAGCTCTCATCTATTACAGATATTACTCCTTCTAAAAAAATAAATAAACTTGCATTGGTTTAGTGACTCTTTGTTCCCACTCCACCTATCGTTCTTTTGTTGCATTGATGGTCAAAGGAGTTATCACAAACTCAGACTGTTAAATCGTGCTGTCTTACAGTCAGTGAAAAGTTAGTGTGCGGCTGGTGTAACAGGTTAGAACTTGAAGGGGCAATGAGGTCTTAAAATGTATGGAAAGGGTGGTAAAAGGTATCAATTTAATTTAAGGATTCCTGCCTGTACCCGTTATATACAAAGACTTGAATGAACACATCCATGAGGAAGTTGAAACAAAGGGAGTGGAAACAAGGGTACTATTTATTCCTGTGTGGGACTCATTTGTAAAGATGTTGCGTTTATTTTGTCCATCCACTGTATTTTCACATACTGTTAGAATCTGAGATACATTTGCACAGCAAATCCAGTGCATAACAAGCACTTTTGTGGTAAAACATTGCATATCTTGTTTGCCACAATAGTGATTAGATATTAGATTGATATTTTACTGGAGTTTTACTGTTCGTTTTCATTGTGTTTGTGGTGTATCACAGTTTGCAGCGCGATAAGTACATCATCAGCCTGAAGGCATCATTAGCAACAGTTGATCAAATCATCAACATGCGTTTGCTATTTTTAATTCCTGGCGCCGCTGTTGAATCCCCTTCCAGATAACATTTTCATTTGAACTGTGTTTGATATCCAAGATCCAGTAACATCCAGTCCAGCTTGTCAAATGTTAAAATAGGCATGCCTGTGGTTTTTGCCAGCATTTGCGTCTTTGTTTTTCCATTTAGCAGACAGGTTTTCTTGTCACCAGAGATTTGTCTATTAAAGCTGGAGCATTTCAGAAGTTGTAGCCATGTTAACTTTCACAACACAAGAAACAAGAGCCAGACACAGAGCTGGGAACTGGAGTAAGCAACTTGTTAGACAAGAAACATAAAAGGAAGTAGTGGATACAAGGGTTATCAGCCGCAGGGTCAATTGCACTCATCTGTTAGAATCCACAGTATGTGAAGGAGTGCAACAGGAAGGAGGGAAATGGGGAGGCAGGACATGTCTTTGTAGCTTGCTAGTGTTTTATGAAGGCCTGGCTGTCACCCAGTTGGCAGAGTTGGACCATGACGTGGTTGAAACGAGCCTGGGTACCCCTCCACAGGCCTCTCGCTGGCACCCTGGCTAACGGTTTGATTAGACACCTCGGAGAGAATTGAGTTAAGAGATGGTATAGAAACGCTGAGAAAAGACAGACATATGCTGTGGAAGGTGGACTGTTTACATTGTCAGCAGATGGTGGGAGGAGAGAAAAAGAGAAGGGAGGAAAAAGAAAGAAAAGGAGGAGCAACGCAAAGGAAGAGTGGTAGAGGAGGACAGGGCAGGAGGAGAGGGTGAATCTGAGGACAGCTGTGCAGACAACCACACACTTTTGACTTTTGTTTGGCCAAGAGAGGTAAGTAAAGATGAATGAAGTTACAGAAATACAGTCGGAGTGATAGATTAAAAGCACTGGAGAAGTTATCTTCCTGTAATATGAAGCTGGCAGTGGTAGCTTTGTGAACTCAATGAACTCAGTGCACTCAGGGGAGAGAGGGGGAAAAAAGAAGGATTTGCTTGTTGCGCGTTTGTTTGGCTGTGTTTACAAGCACTGCCAGTGATCAATGAACATGTAACCTCAAGCTCTCTAAACCTTTTAAACATATTATCTAGGTTCCGTCCAATCTGTGTAGGATCAATCAGGTGTCTTGTTTTTTTTTTTCTCTTCTTCTTAGCTTCACAGTGGCTCCCCTATGAAAAGTAGTAGTAGCCTGCAGACTAAGCTTTGCATTGATTGGTGTGAAAGTGTGTCTAATAAGTACAGCCCCACGGGCCAAGACCTGTGTTATTGAATGTTGCCGCTGCTCGCGTAAATCTGTCCCGGGTTGATCCAGGATAAATTCCAGTGCATTTTAGTTTGTGCAGTGTGTGTGTGTGTGTGTGTGTTTGCGTGTGTGTGTGTGTGGGCTTGCAGGTGCATGTGAAGCTTGATATCTGGGCTATACTGTGGTTTGTTCTTCTGTGTGGTTGTTTTTTCATGAACACATTTTTGACGTTTTGCCAGCTGTGTTGGCTTATAGAAAGTAAATGTCCTATTTGGTTGTTATTATTTATTTATTATATGCCCTGCTCTAAATGATTTTACCATGTGGTTCGTGGGATTTCTGAAATGCTTCCCATCAAGAAGTGTAGGGTGCGTGTTCATGGGTGGGAGTGTGAGAGATACATTTTAAGACTGTCTCACAGCTGTCAGCAGCTTACTTTTTTTATTAGGTTTTATTCCTCTGGCTTTTAAGGTGTTCACACATTTCTTATTTTTTATTCTAGCCAGCAGGAACTTGACGGTAGAACCAAAGAAAATCATCTTTAATTACCTGTGCTTTCTTTCAAAACAGCTCCTTCACCTCTTGCCTGATATCTTTCAGTCCTTGTTTTTCCTCTGCTTCATCTTCATCTTTTGTTGGTTGTTTTGGATCACAGGTAATGCCTGTTTGTCTGATTACACAATATACATTACACAATATACTACTGTATTAATATAATGTTGGTCCACCATATACACGTGATAATTCTACATATTTTCTTGCTTACTTTGATTGTTATCTGGTCGTGCAGAAGGTTAGGTTTTATTTGCTCAGGTTTTGTGTGGATTATGCGTGGTAATGAACTATATCTGGGACGACATGTTCTCAAAACCTGGGCAAAATACCTCAAACTTAATGCATGAGTAGATACAATTAGGGCTTAGTGGAAAATGTGGGGTTTTTTTGCAATGTGGATGAACCAACCTTTAATCCTGCGAGAGAAAGTACCATGATTACCACAGTGTATGGATGTTAATTAATCATGATTAATTGTTCTATTATTTGCCCCTCCCTTAATCTGACTACCATTTAGAGAAATCTTAGTACAGTGAGTCAGTTCTGTGACCTTATTTCTGTGAAGAAAGCCAACTAAACCCTTTGAGTTCACTGAACGGTTAAAACTCATTGAATGAGCAGTCTTATGAAGCAAATCGAAGCATGCACTTCTTGATGTAACCTCTCACCCCTTTTCCTTCTCTCACTGTTAAGCACACTACAGTCTGAGAGATGTAGTGTGTTGTCCTCAGGCTTATAACTGAGGAAGGAAGTTCAAGTGAGGAGAAATATTTCACTGCTGAGGATGTTTGACCTTCTTTGCTGTTGTGCTGCTGTGAGAAGCTAGAGCTCAGGTGTTATGAACAGTCTTGATTTAATTCTGAAGGAGTTGAACATACTGAAGGATTTTACATTTTTAAGAAGTTTGATGCTACATATTTTGAAAAGTAAGTGATACATCACTTGCTGTTCAGTATTTGAGAAAGGTATTTAGAGCATAGGTGAGTGCTGGTAATACCTGATGGGCCACTTGGAATGAGAAAAGTTGGTTGCAGCTATAGTAAAACAGTTGCTAACAACTTAAAGGCTTCTTGGGTGTGTTTGTCATTCTGCTGTGTGTTAGTGTTATTAGCAAGTTATGTGTGTGTGGAAGTTAATTTTGAATAAACTCAATATATTTTTCTCCTGTCATTGACATCACATAACCAGATAATGTAGTCTCAGTTTATCAGTAAATAACTACTCTGACTGTTTTAACATTATAACATTGATCAAATGTGGAGCCTCGAGCTATAATCCTTAATTAGTTCCTTTTTCGCTGTTATGCCACAGCTTTTTTACTCAACCCCCCTTTTCTTTTGTGTCTGCCCATCTTTGACCATACAGTAGTGTTGCCTAAGAGCCTTGGGGCATTGACAGACGGGAGTGTGGAGACCCCAGCCATGCACCCCACCCCCACGGTGGGCAGACCTCCAGGTCAGAGAGGACGCAAGCCAGGCCGCAGGAAAACCAAGGTGACGGGGCCCTGGAATCAGAAGGGCTCAGCGTTGGGACCACCGAGCATCCAGCCAGGCAAAGGCTTGGAGCCCGTCAAGGTTCCCAAGAAACGAGGGCCCAAGCCTGGCAGTAAGGTAGACATGAAGTTTTTAGATACCATCAGATAGTCTCCTTTGATTGCAGGGTCAATTCACCCAAATTCCAAAAAAAAAATTTACATCTAATTGTGTGCATATACTTTTGATTTTATTTTCCCAGGTTTTGCAATATCTGTCTTAAGATTTCTGCCTCCCTCATACACTGGGGGTGAAAGCTAGACTGTTTCTTCGATTCTACAAGGACTACGTCTGTCCACAGTGAAGTTTAATTGCCGTGGAATATTTCACTGCTGTGTGTACCACAGACAGAATTCCTTTCACCTCCATTTATGTTGTGGTGGCAGCAGAAATCTCAAATATGCAAATATGTCAAAACAGGGTCTCAAAACCAAACTACTGATTTTACATTGCTAAATACTATTGGAGGTAAAATACAATTTGTTGTGTGAATCGTGACTTCTCAAAATTAGTGTTTTTGTGATATTTCTGCTCACATCTGATAAGCAACAGTGCTGAAGTGGTTTCACAAGCCTTGGATGCATGTAAACATGTTTGACCTTGACCTGGGGGAGCATTGTCATTGTAGAATATCACAGCATGAAGAGTTTGCCCCACTTGACTCTTTTCTCTTTGTTCTTTGTTTACAGTTGGGCTGGGCAAAGAGAGCTGGCTGGCTGGAAGATGCCATGGCTGGCCCAGGGCGGCCAGTGACTGGCCCAGGGCGAACCAGGGGCAGACTACCTGCCAACTGGGCACAAAGGATAGCTCTGCAGCAGGCCCAGACTCAGGCAGAACCTATCAAGATCCCAAAGAAAAGGGGGCCCAAGCCGGGCAGCAAGGTAGCTGTCCAGAACTTACACATTCACACAGGCATCACTGAACCAAGCATTTGGCTCCATGAGGAGGTAACTTAATGGGTATAATTTCTATACCACGTAATACCTCACTAACTAGCATTTTTAGCAACAGTATGTGCTGTCCAATGCCAGCCTTCTTTACATAGACAAGTTTTGTTGTCCATGGCAAAAATGAAAGAAAAATAACAATTGTTTCTGTTGATAACAATGTTATGTTTATCCCTGCTCCGCCACATCTTGCTCTCATCTCTGTTGTTTCTGTCTATCTTACCAGTAATACAGGATTCCCCCTTAAAAGAATACATACGGGAATATCTTTCAATATGTTAGCTGTCTTGGGTTAACATTTATAAGTAAATGCCTTGCTGTTTGTTGATGTTTTTTATTGAGGCAGATTGAGCTGGTTTCCATGTCAAAGACATCAACAGTTCCAAAACACAGTGGTTGTCCACAACTAATGTTTGTATGCTGGCAAAGTCCGTAGCTGCACTCATCAGGTCCCAATAATGTACTAAAGAGAGATTTATGTAGTAGTCAATTTTCCTTTTAACCTTTGTTTTGTTTTTACTGATTTTAAACCATGTTACATTTACAGAAAGGCACTTGTTGTATGAGTTTGAATATGAAAGTAATAACTAATTACTATCAATCGAAATATAATCAAAATTTCAATATGCCAGTAGTGCATTATACAAATCGCAGAAGGTAAAATGTGACAAAACATTAGAATGACGTGCTGTGGTATTGAAGAGATACCCTGGCTGATAAATATTGATTTTTACAAAAACATCTTTGCTTGGTATAGATTCCAAAGAATGTAACAATCGTTTTTTAAGTGAAAATTAAATTTGTGATGCAAAATCATATCGCAATATCTGTCAAAATACTCGCAGTATGATGTTTTTGCCATATTGTGCAGCCCTAGTATGAACTATATGTAAACTGTATTGATGCAATGAACCAGTAGAGATTGAAATGTTGTAAAATGATCCAATGTGTGTGTTTGTATCCAGAGAAAACCACGCGTGGTACCTAATCCAGTCCCCACGTCTCCCACCAGCAGTACCCCAGAGCCCGACACCAGCACTGTGCCTCTGGACAATGCCACAATCCCCAACTCTGCACTACAGGCTCCAACAGGTACACAACATCCACAGACCTGGACATACAGCACACTATCACTGCTGAATATACTTTTCTGGGATGCTCAGTGCATGTGTAAGACTATGGTTAATTTTGTCATGCTCATACTACCATACACTCACTGCCACTGCCTTTTGTTGGCAACACAATCTGACAAATAGTGCTTTAAAAGGTTTAGGATCAAATAAGTCATATAACCTTCAATATTGATTCCTCTGGTTGTTGTTTTGCCCCCGTAGTTTGTGTTTACCTAAACAAGTATGGCAAGGTGGGACCTCATTTGGACCTGAGGCGTATCCAGCAGCTCCCAGACCACTTTGGACCAGGCCGGGCCTCTTCTGTGCTTCAGCAGTGCGTTCAGGCTTGTGTGGACTCCGCCCACAACCAGGGCACAGTCTTCTCCTGTCTCAAGTCTGGACAAGGAGGCGAAGTAATTTCAGGTGGGACTTTTCTCTCTATCACTCTCCTCTTCCTGTGGAAAGGTTTTATGAAACAGCACATTAAGAGGACTTTGCTGTATTGTTCATCCGTTTTTGGTGGCGATATCACATCTTTGTTCAGTTATTTTCTATTAGACCAGAATGTAGGGCTGTTGTCAAAGGATCAGCCTTGTTATATGTAAATTCTGATATGGTATATATTACATAATATGTGGGATCTAAAAATCTTTTTAGAAAGCTCACTCACATCAGTGAACATGTTGCTTTGACTCATTTTTTTGCATTTCAAACAAAAGACTACATTTTCACTGAACAGAATTTTATCTTCTGTCTGTTGCCCCTGTTTGTCCTGTGTAGCCTACTTTGACCAGCAGCAGCACACCCTGACCCTGCCCACAGTCAGCAGTGTCACCTACGTTCTCCGCTTCCTAGAAAAACTCTGCCACAACCTTCACTGCGATCCTCTGTTTGGCAGCCAGCCTGTAGCCAGAGGAGGCCTGCACTACGACAGTCACACATACACTGCAGGTCAGTGCTGCTGTTCTCTCACTGGGTATTCACATGCACATCTTCATTGTGAATATTTAGTGAATATGGGGTGGGATATCGGCTTTGAGGCATATTTATTACGCTGGAAAGCAACAGTAGACACATTTTCCAGAGAGCAGTTAGATTGTATGTTTACATATTATTGAATTTGACAAGAATGTAAGAATAAAACAGTGCTACATGACACATTTTATATAGATTCTGTTAGTCTTAATGAAGCAACCTTCAGGGCACAAGATATCGGTCTTTTCATTGTGTGTTATATTTGTAAGCTTTTTTGTAGGAGATAAAAACGGTCTGCCTTACTCATCTCGAGATGTTGGCAGTAACCTCCTTATTAATAAATCCTATTAATACTCAAGGGAGGTGCAGGAGTATCTGTATGTTTTACACTGCGGTACAAAAGACAGATCACTTGTTTTAATGTGGGAAACTTCAAATTCCAAGTTTAGATTTCTTGGGAACAAGAATACAACAACACATAATTTAAAAGGTTTTATATTTCCAGTAAATTTGTTTTTGTTTATTTCACTATTTAGCCTCTGTGAGCAAAATAAGAATGTAACCAAATGATATGCAGTCTGCACCACCTATCTGTACCTCAGTCCCCTCTGAATGTCAGTCTGTATCAACTGTTTCCTCCGTATGTGCTGGTTTTAGAGAGGAGAACTTTTGGCGACAGCCTGACGACGGGCCCGGGCAGGGGCAACAAGCGGTTCCTCCTGGACTACAACAGTCCACTGCCTCAGAAACTGGCCAAAATCTCCCGGCACTCCACTGATGGTATGTTACTTTTACTACTTTTATCTACCCTGGGCCTAATTCCCCACCTCCATAAATTATTTTTTAAAAATCCTATTTAGACAGAGCAGAGAGAAAAACACAAGTGTGTGACAGTGTGACTTATTTCTCCTATATATTAGAGGATAATATGGCAGCTAATGGTGCCCAAATGTTATCATACCCACTTTGTGCTTTGCTGGATCAGTGTATATTTGAGGTTTTCTTCTCCTCATTTCTGTTATATAAAATGCCATTGCATAGTATTTTTCTTTGTTCTATATTTGTGTGTGAGGAAAACAAATTGGAAATGCGCTTAAATCATAGGATTTCACTGATTAAACAAGCCTTGCACTCACGTGTAGAATATTTGCTTATGTAATCAGTGGCTCTCAACTCTAATGCTGCACCACCTTTTATATAAGACTTTTCATTCTAAAAATCATCTGCTCTGAGTTGTCCATTAAATTATATAAAAGAAGGTAGTAAAACAGAAGGAGCTCTTGGCTCAGGAGTGAGTGCTATTAAGTTCTGGGTCAGGAGGTTAATCATTTAATCATCTTTCAATGTCCTCAAATTTTAATTAAGTTAATGGAATACTTGAAGTATTTATGTAAACGGGTAATATCCCCCTTAAAAGGCCCTTCCACTTTTACAGAAGGCCAGAACACAGTCAAATCACAGTTTTATGTTCTCAGGGTTACAGGCAATATTACGGTGAAATGGTTCATGGTCCCGTCGCTACCCTAAAGCCTAATCACTGAAATCTCACAGACTTAGCTGACGTCACCCGCTTGAGTGTGAGAGGCTGCAAGGGTCCAAAGTTGCACAAATAGGAATGGGGACGGTACACGCAGCATGAGTTCATTGCAACATATTAGTGACATCTTTCGAAACACTTCTCAAAACATACTCAAAAAGGTGTTTCATTAATCCTGGCACACTGTTTTGTTTACCAACATGTCTTGTCTGTGTTATTATTAGAATTTATCTTTATTGTTTTGGGCTTTAACTTTATTTTATTTCTGTATTATTTAATTTGCTAGATTTATTTGCCTCTGCACTGAAATGTTTTAATCCTGGTTCAACTATGTAAAGCACTTTGTAACTTTGTTTTTGAAGTGTTAAAAGTGAAATAAATATTATATTATTAGATGACATTACATTGACAACATGTTCCATAGCCAGCAATTGTGGGTTTCTTGGAATTTTATTCAAGATTTTTTTACTTTCTTTACGACCAATAGACCTGATTTGAAAGTCTTACTGAGTGTACGAGAGGTAATTGACAAATAATCCAATTTACTTTACTTTTCGTCAAAACAGCTTCACACACTTTCACCTAAACTTATTTTTTCTTGTTACTTCTCGCATGTTTGTTAACACTTATCTGAAACATGTCTCAAAGTGTGTGAGTGTGGAGATAAATCAGTCAGTCGAATTCCTTTTGTGCTGCATTTTAACAACTATATATTTATATATATCATGTTGGATTGGCTGGTGCCCCCTTTCATTATTTTGGTTCATCTGTGTCTCTACTTTATTTCACTGGTGAATCCTGTGTTTGCATCTTCAAGGCGAATCCTTCATGGAGAACAGTGTTGCCGTATCAGAGCACTTAAAGAAGAGCCCTCTCTCTCCAAACTCTTCGGTACAAACTTCTGGCCTGAGGTCTCCCTCCAAGCTGCTGCATCATAACAACTCTACAGGTAGGAAGAGACGCTGATATAGGAAACATTGTTGCTCTCTACATTTGCTCAACATTTCAGTGCTTCGGTGTAGCGATTCAAATGTCTAAGTGGGCAATATTCAAACAGGATGCATGGGACTGCATTTCTGCAGGCGAGTTGACAATGAAATACAATTCAAGAACTCAACTTTGAAGGCTTATCAGACACCAAAACACTGTATGGCGGTTTAAAATATTTTTAAACACAAATTATAACTCTTTGTTTACATTACAAAGAAATCTCCATGGATTGTGCAATTTCACATATTTAGTTGGCCAACATAGTACTTTAGCACTTTAGGCTTTAACCAAAACAGCTTTTAAGGCTAATGAGGATACATTTAAATACTTGTATCACATTTTATAGTCGCTGAATAACAGACATAAAGACATTCTGTTTGCTGCAAGAGTTGTATCTTTACAAGATGAATAATTTTGATACATTTAAAAGCTGTCAAAGCTGGTCCCAGACAGTTGGAATAACATAGGGGTAAAGGAGGGCAGATAAAGTCCATAAACAGTGGACTGTTCTGTTTATACATGTTTGTCGGCATATACTCTCTGTTTGGTTATACATTTTAGGTTCCACCCAGACAAATGCAGACATGGGCAGATAAGGAAATATTTTTCTGAATTGTATTTTGGTATTGCAAGCTAAAGTCTATCATAGTGCTTGGCCAGTTAGAGGATCGTTGCAAAAAATTGAAGAACGTAACAGTATACGCACTGAGTGAATGTCCCCATGGATTTGAGCTTGTGCCTTGAACTTTCAGGCTCAGGCAGTTTCCGAGAGAACCCGAGGCCGGGTGGTCAGGACCCCAACCTGTGGACGGTGGAGGATGTCATGCAGTATATCAGAGATATCGATCCCGTGCTGGCCCCACATGCTGACCTTTTCAGAAAACATGTATGTATTTTTTCATAATGGTGAAGACGCTTCAAATAACTGATGTGTATACATTTTTCAGATTGTACTAGACATCAATTTTTGTTTAGTACAAAATTTGTTGGACAGCTTTGCTAAAAAACTGTTAATTCAATTTCCCCTCCTTCCCTCTGCTACAGGAGATTGACGGCAAAGCACTCCTCTTGCTGCGTAGCGACATGATGATGAAATACATGGGCTTGAAGCTCGGCCCTGCCCTCAAACTCACCTTCCACATCGACAAGCTCAAACGGGCTTAAGGTCAGCCGACCAGTCGTAGCCTTCCAAAGGACTAAACTCCAACCCCGCCTCCCTGTTCTAGGATCAGTATATCATGCACTGCATATTGGACATATTCTGACCATTTACATGTAGCAGCTTCCATCAGAACATATCTGGTATTATATACCCCTGTCCTGACCTCATCCAATGAGGAATGTTTATTTTGTGTAGCACAATCCAGCCCTAAGGCAGCATGGGATACGTAGGATTACCCACTTGTCCGTCATCTGTTTTGCATTTCAGTATAACTTGAAGAGTCATATGTGGCCATTTTAACTGTAAAAGGCTTTTTTGGCCTGCTTTTATTATGTTACATTTATTCTGAACATTTCATATTTTGTACTTCATGGATATATGGACTTGTATTTTTGCCTTTTTCAATGGTTTGTGTGGGACATGCTAAAAGAAAGAAAAGAAAGAAAACACTACATTCATCCCAATAGTTGGGAATGCCTCTGAATAATGTCTCTGTTTGAGGCACAATTTTGCAACTACAACAATATTAGTTATGGGGAGAAAAACATTTTATGAAGAAAATAAAAAAAGAACACTTTATTCTGAAAATACTGCCATGAGGAAATCTGTTTCTTTTCTCTTATCCTGGATGTTGTTTACAATGCCTTGTCTTGTCTTTGTTATTTGTACTTTTTTAATTTTTTATACTATATTATTATAGTTCCTACATGGAGAGCCCTATCATACTTAACATTGTTCAATAAATATATAATAATTCAACTTCTCTTGGTTTATTTTTTCTGTGCTTTTTGTTGTGCGATGTCGACCTTTAAAGCCCTAATCACATATTGTTTGCACCTGTTCTTACACTCTGTTGCTAAATAGCTTGCTTTGTTTAATCATTTATTGAGTTAAGACAATATTTTGTGCCTTTAATTTACCTGACCTTTTCAAACAGACTCATAAGATACAAATGTCCAGTTTGACAAGTCTGACATTTTGAGGCTGTAAAAGCTATATATATTAAGTATACTGAGTTAAAGTTGACAATTGTGTTTAAAAGCACATGCATATAGATTAATTACATTGTAATTCATGTTGTTGGTTTAATTTTTACATTTTCCATAGTTCACCAACAGAGGGCAGCCCAGCCCAGTCTACCTTTTTGCAGTGTGTCTCCTTGCTGTTTCTCCTTGGGACTCTGACACGCTTGGCCATGGGTGGCCATATCTCCATCTGGTAGAGTCAGCATGATAATCTCACGGATATTTTTATACCATGTAAAGATGACTTCATATGGTTTGTCATTCTTTTGTTGCTCATTTGTCAGCATTTCTCCTGTATTACTGTGTAGTTATTTATTTTCCATTATTTAAAGACTCTTCTATGATTATGTGAACCTATTGTTCATGCTGTTTCTGGTAAATATTGCTGTCATTGTTTCTGACAGTACAGTGAGTGGGCTATTAGGCTTGTGGGTGAAAAAATTACTTGTGTCTACTGAAGCAGCTCAGCACAAGAAATAAAACCTAACCACATCCTCCTAGTGAAAACAGGAAAACATATCACTTAGGGTTGAAAACGGTGACCAAACCCACTGATTCTAACTGACATGGATGAGTATGAATGCATGTCTCTGTGTGTGAGCATATGACACATGCACACACAATCTGTGCTGTGTTTGTGTGTTATGCTCAGGCACATGTGACAAGCTCAGAGCTCGTGGCTGATGCCTGTGCTTGTTGATGTGTAATAGTAGCCAAAGTGCTATGCATGAAGCCAGTGCTATTTATAGAAATAACAGCTCCTTGTGCTGCATATTGTGTTTGTGAAGATTGTGAAGCGAGTTTTTACTTTAGCTCTAACACCACAGTGGGGTTTTTATTAGGTGCCATTCTTGTTTCGCTGATAGGGCAGCAGGCAGAGGCATTAAAGTATAAAGTTGAATAGTCAACATCACTGGTTCTCTGAAAACATACAAGCAAGATAGCTTATCTTTACTGTTATGACATATAGTGGAATTTAGGTACATTGGGGAAATTCTGCCCCTGATATTTACCAACAATGCTGTACAGTGCTCCTGAGTCATCCACTGTCTTTGCCACAGCAGTTGTACACCATGTACAGCAGTGAGACAGTTTCAGTATGTATAAAAGGAAGTTTTGCGGGCTTGCAAATCAGTCACAACGGTGAGAAAAAAAAACGAGTTTCTCTGTTCTGTGCTTCAGGTGTTATGGCATAGAAATGCAATATTTTCTGCAGAACCAGCCTGGCACGTTGCACTCTGCAGAAGTGTGGGCACAGTTAGAGAGAAACAATAAAGAAATAAGGTGCTCAGTCCACCACCTTCTTTCTAGCTGATACTAGAATTCCCAGCATGCCTTTGGGCTGTGAGTTGTGGTGCTCTCAGTAGGGGTTAAGGTCCTGTTGGCCTCAGATCCTAGTGTGCCTGTGAAAGCCCTGAGGCCTCACTTATAAAAGAATGTATTTGAATTTCTTTGTTATGTTGATCTTTGTGAGATGTTTCCAGATTGTGCAAACTTTTCGCTTATAATGCATTACGTGTATCATCAAAATGCTTGAAGAAATGTGAGTATACATCAACACGCTACATTCTGTACTATAAGATTTGTCTGTTATTGATCAGTCGTAGAACAAAACTTCTGAGGGTTTATATAACCTAATAATAAGGTATGGGAAAAAAATGTCATCACACCTCAGAGGAATCATACATAATTTTTTAAACCAGTGTTTTGTGCGTGAATCACACACAAACAGCCCGGTACAACAAATGATGTGCACGCGATTTTCCCTAAGATTCATTCATATACATTGATATTACAGTATATGGAGATTTCACCAGCAGGATAATACTTGTAAAGCCTGACAAGAACTGCTCTCTTGTATTAATTCCACCCCCAGCCTATAGCCTGTTACTCTGTCTTTGGTAGCATGTGCATGCCACTGTCACCAGATTAGCACGCAGGCTTAAAGCCCTGCTTACAAAGACACTGTGTACAGATCATAGCCTGTGCTAATACTGTTTCCCTCTATTCTAACCTAAGAACCTGTAACTCCCCTAGGCGAGCCAAAATCATTTCCCCACTCACATTAAACAAGTGAAATAAAGGGGACACATCAATATGACCTTCTGAAAAAGCTTTGTAAAATACTGGCTTTTGTGATGCTTGTTATGTTTAATCTTTGTTGAGACTGCCGGATTCATAGCCTTGCATTGCCAGACCAATTTGCAATTGCTCACAGATTCGTCTGGGTCTAAGGCTACCAGATTCACCTTTACATTATATTGTATAGTGAGATGTAATAACTGAAACAGGATGGTTCATGTAACACATTGCTGACACTGTTTTTATTGTGTTACATTGCACAAGTATTGCTGTGAAATGTTAGTATTTCCTTGTAGTCTGCTTGGCTGGTTTTGACACATCAGACTGCAAAACAATAGTTTGACAGCTACTTTAAATTAATTTCAATGCTGGAATTAGTTTGAAACACATTATAAAACCATTTTTCCATCTGGTAGTCCGTGCAGTTAAAAGGCTAACAAATAAAGGACTTTTTAAACAATTTAAAACATTTGTTTGTAACCAGCTCAGCTCTACTGTATATGTGCTGACACCAAGGTTAACTTTCTGCCACTACTGCGAAACCACAGCTCTGCTCAGTTTGGCTCAACTGTGTAAATCACACAACCCTTAAATATTTACCACCTTTAGACATTGTTGGGACACCTCAATGTGTTTGAGCTGGCTCGACGGAGAAGTGTCAGCTCTGTGCAGGAAAATAAATTATTTACACCCCCTCCTTCTACTTCAAAGAGCTGGCAAACCATTCAACCCCAGATTTGGGGAGGGGGGTCGGCGGAGGAGTTGCCAGTCACTAGGCAACCTATGTGTCACCTGCCCCGACATGCCAAAATCAGCCACTTACCTCTGGAGGCTGCATTCACAAGGTACATGACTGCATTTAAAAGCCTCCTCAGCTGGGTTCATATGGAAAACAAAACAAGTACTGAGACACAGCTAAACTATGTGGCTCCGGGAAAGAAAGTGTGATGTGATTATATTGCTTTTTCCTTCGTGTTGGAAAGAGGAAGAGTTTTAGAAGACGCTGAGCTTTCCTAAAAAGGCCGGGAGCAGAATCCAACAGAGCAACATCTGAAAAGGCCTGTTGCATTTAAATATCTGTGATATGTTTGCTTTTTTTTATGACAGGGAGGGAAGAGCAGCATCCAATAAGAATACACATCAAGTGGAGATACAAGGTGACTGATCAGCTAGAAAATCAGGAAGTTCGGCTTGTGTAACATGTCCACTGAATGAACCCTGCCCTGAGGGATCTGCTGTTTATTTACCTCCTGCCAGCACACACACACACAGACACACACAGACACACACAGACACACACCCAAGGTTAACACAAAACATGCAAAAATCCTGCAAACTTTCTTGTTAACACTGACAAGTTTAAACACGTGCCCTCTTAACACAATATTCACACACAGAGATAAAAAACATGCCCCTTGTTGTCAATAAATAACCCATCCAGTCATCTGGGAAACTCAAGTTTAGTTCTCACTTTCATTATATATTTCACACTTTGCTTTACAGTTATATTCACACTGGGGGAATCTTGCCTTGACTACTTCTTTTTAAATCTTAAAATAAGCACTCCAATGAAAGGTAATTATTATTAGTAAGGATTCCGTTTAGTCATACTGTTTCGACATTACAAATCTCCAGTATATCTCTATGAAGTAACATTTTCTGGATGTTGTTTTACAAATGGGATTTTCTCATTTACACCGATAATGGATCCAACCACAATCTACCAACATACTGTGGGTGTAAGGATCATAATGACCACAGATGAGACAGAAATCCTTTATCTTCCCCTGGCTTCACACAGATATTGAGGTATCCCTGTTAGCCTGTTTGATCAGGTTGTGTGCTGATGCTGTGTGTGTGCATGTGAAGACCTGGCCATGCGTGACAACAGCAAATGACCACCTATCCATCATTGGCACTAGGTCCTGAGATTACCATGAGCTCAGGCTTGGCACCAGCTGGACCAAGGCCTGGAGAGACAGGACTAGATAATACGCAATGCATAGACATACAGATATACAGATATGAAGCCGAAGAGAGGAGTGTAATCTGGATTTGCATTTAGCACACCCCACATGGTGTTGTGGGGAGTGTTTATGGAATCATACAAGTGAGTTGGGAAAACCCAGGTAAGAAATCCCCAGGAACTAAAAAAAAGAAAATAAAAAAATCCCTCCACCTCATATCTTATTCTAAACTGGAGACATCCCTACATTTTCTCTCACCCCTCCTTATTTCTTCTCTCTTTCACTTTGTCTGTCTGCCTCTCTATCAGAATGTGGTCTCTGACTTATATTGAGAGAGCAGCGAGCTGCCACAGGAAGACACAGTATTGTGTTGAGCAGTTTGCTGTGGGTGGGCTGAAAACGAGTAAGAAAAACAGAAGTAACTGTAAACTTCTCAGGGTGTCCCACCCTGCTTAGCCTGCGTCTAGACTAGCCTCTGTGAGGCAGACGGCAGTCATAACAAGGGATTGGGAGAGCAAACAGGGCTGTTTGGCCTATAGAGTCACAATCAAGAACCAAAACCTCTGTATTTAATTGGGGCTGAACAAGGAGCTCACAGTGCAGCATACAATTATGAGATATATGAGGAGACAGAGTTCTGACAGTGTGCCAACGTGCCCCATGTGCCACACACCAGAAGACCATC